GCTTCTTTTTTCCTCTCTTTTATGTACATCCACAAAACAAAAATTTCCCACACAAAATCGATTGAATCGCAAACACACCGACGAAAAAAAAAGGAAATTCGAAAATGCCAGCATTTTCAAATAGTTGAACCAATTTTGTGTGCTTGTGTAAATTGCAAATACTCGAAGTCAAATCGAAGTGAAAATAGATTGTGAGTCGAAAGTTTGCCATTAGAATGCGATGGTGAAAAAAAAAATGCAAGCAAAACACGAATTGTGTGATACAGTGACATTTTGCTTGAACATCGTCTCTTTTCTCTTTCGTTTGTCCGTCTCTTTCTCTTATATGGCAATGTGACCTTTGTGCCGACTAACAGAAAAAAAAACGGCAAACGTCAACTACCATCATAAAAAGTGTGCCTATTTGAATGTTGTGTGCAAAATGTGCACACATGCTTTCAACATTTTCAAGGTGGAAAATTCACATCGAAGCGCACGCTTTAATATTTGAACGACTAGACAGCATTGCAGATAAAACGTAAGCCAATATATAGTAAATGAAGATCAAACAACCGAAACCATAGTCGCTTTTGTTCCCATTCAGAAAATGCTGATGGAAAGTCATTAACAAATACCATTGTTGTGTTCGTATTAAAAATGATGTTTTTTTTTTGGCAAATTTCAATAGATTTTCCTCCCCACCTGGGTAAATGTCAACCTGTCAAGTCACTCGCAAAAATCATTTTTTATCTTTTTTTTTATTCGCGGCATGTATTCGCGCATTTTGAATGTGCAAAACCATCGACAAAATAAATCAATTAAAACTCATTTGCTTTCTTTCTTCCTGCCATATCATTTGTATGTGTTATTGAATGGCTTAATTATCAAATACATTTAGCAATAAAATCACTTCTTTTATACTTGAAATTAAGCATTATTCAATTCAGCAATTGAATGATCACACGATAAATCTCGCGTGACACGAAATGATGTGTATTGCGGCGCAGAGCTGTGCACATAGAGCGGGAAAAAAGTGAAATTGCGCTGGGCCAATTACAATTTTGTGTGCGCACGAAATCGATGTAATCGTTAGTTGTTTTGTTTTCGGTCGTCATTTCGATAGAGCGAAACAAAATACAATTGAATTGATAAATCCGTTTCGGTTATTTGAAATCCGGCACAAACATACACACATATACAAGCGCGCGGGCTCATTGTCATAAATGATTTTACATTTTATGCAAAAAAAAAATTGTTTTGCATGAAACCCGGCTGGCTGAGCGATACGCTTATTACGATGCAAGTATAACATTAACAAAATCTCGCATCTGGAATCGTATGGCGAAACCTGTAGCTCGAATAAATCGATGCAAAACCAATCATTCATCTTAGATCGCGCACGTGAGCCACTACAAATGATTTTGTTCGTTGTTTGTATTCGATCACGTTGAATTGTGGCCTCTCATCATGAATTTCATGCCGAGCACATACACAATTATTGTTTCGTTGTTTCGCTTCATCTCGATGCGTGGGGCGACACATTTCATTCGAAACAACAAAAAACTAATTTTATAGTGTAGCATACCGTTTTTATTTAGCTCTTCATGTTTCATAGTTTGCCGTAGCATAGTTTTTTTTTCTTGGACCATAATGCAGCGAGAGCCGCGGGATCATTTGCAGCGGTTCATAATTTTGAAACAATGTTGTAAAGCACATAGATAGATAAGCTCGGGCTATAAAAATGAAAACGTGAATAAATTTTTTTTTTCATTCGTCGATGTGTGCCTCAATATCAACTTCAACACGTTCGATATACTCTACAAAAATTTTCGAGCGAATTTACGATTATTAGAGATCCATATTCTCGGTATCATAATTATTATCGTCAGCATCGTTCGTTCGATGTGTAGTTTTTGTCTGCACGTAGATCACTATAAAATCTATGTGAAGTTGAAGAGAGCTGAAATAACCGTTTTGGATACATACATATTTGTACTTTACGTAAAATGTAATTTATTGTTTCACAGAATTGGATGTATTTTTTCCCCCTGTACACATATATCGTTTTGAGTCTTCTAGCCTTTATGTGATCATTCACTCTCTTTTCCGCCTTCAATTGGACATGCTTCATTCGGTATAGCCGACAGCAACCAGTCTACTCTTGCACACACACACACATACAAATACACACTCAATCGAATAAACCATCACACCAAAAACTGCTCTACACAATCTATTGAACTGTAATAAAAGACGTGGAGTACAGCATCTCAACGAGACCGATTGCTTGAAGCGACCCGGTGAATTCCAATTTCATACACAACACACAAACACACACACCGTATACGGATTTTAATGAAATACAATCAAGAAAATATGCCCAAAAACGGCCAGCACATCGTACAACGAAAAAGAAAACAACAACATCATAAATAACAATAGCCAAAGAAGAAGTAAAGAAAAAAGTAGCAATTGTAACTGTTATAAAGCAATGTGTGTACGCATAGGACGCGATGTTTTGTTGATGTTGCAACATCGAACCAAACAATGTGCGGATGTGCACATAGCACCTTTCGTGTATTTTATGCCATTCATGCATGTGCGCTCACATGAAAAAAATGCAAGATCATTTCTTGTCAATGCAGCGTGTCTCAAATCCTTGTGTTTGTGTGTGTGTGTGTTTCGTTTTGGAGGACTTGATACACGACACTGATATAAAGACAACTGCATAGAAATAAGAAAAACAACTGACAATATTCGGTACCAAGAGACTATTTCTTATGAATAGACACAGAACATCGCACAATGCTACGAAATACAAATAATTCTTCCGAAAAAGCTGACAGAAAATAGATGGCATTCAGTTGTACATCAATGTGTCTTGTTTTCTTCGTCTTCTAAAAATGGTCATCATCGTCTTCTGCACTATGGTTTAGTTTATTTTAGTTGGTGCTTTGCTGCGCAACAGAATGGCTAATGAGCTCATAGGCGCGAACAAGTAAAATACATACGTAGTAATCATCTCGATGCTTGTGTTTTCAATAGGGATGTAATGCTAAAGAAAAGAATACACGGCAAACGTACCGCTTTAATCCCAGTCTCTTTCGTCGCTATACGTCTTTTGATCATCATCAATGTTACATGCGTTTCATGGATGGCATACATGTTTTAACGAATTGTTTGCTTGACCAAAGATGAACAAAGGCATACCGATGAAATAATCAACATTTTCGGGGTGGCGTTCGTCTTAGCGTTCAACATTGAATATGAAAAAACCATATTTATATTTTGTATATTAAAATTGAATTTTTTTTTAAAGAAAAATTCAAATAAAAACACCAACGAAAATGAGCACCCGACTTATTCACATTTCGTGTTAAAATTTCACATTCTTTGTAAAAGGCAATAAAAAGTGCAAGCTGTACATCCATTAACACACCACAATTATCCACATACAAGCCACTTACGTAAATTTACCGGTCAAACAAATATTCATGGTTGTATGAAAAAAAAAAAACAGAAAATTCAGGAGAAAATACAAAAAAAAAAACCACAAAAATTGTGTCTTTTGTTTTCGGGAGCTGTTTCTATATTACGTTGAGCGAATTTCATTGACAAGCCCGCAAACAGCAACGGAATTTTATTTGAAAATTTATATACATTCAGCCAAAACGGCTAACATATGTCAAATCGAAGGTGCGCACACACGCACATGTACATGCACACATTCAAGTAATGTATCATGTGTAGCCACTTATGTTACCTGTACGTGTGTTCAATTCCATTCACAAGCACACCAGTTAGCACCATCAGCCGTTTGTCGACAAAAACAGCACCAACCAATACAGTGTAGAGAATTGTAAAGAGTAACGACATCGAACCTATCCAAATAGGGTACTATTGATGGTAGAATGACATAGAACACCAAAATACTGATACATTGTTGCAGGTGTGTGTGTTTGTGAAAGCAGTAGAACATTTGTTCCACGACATGTGTGTACGTGACTTTGTTCAATGGTATTTTGCATGTGTATCGGTCGCCGTTAGCAGCCGTTTTGAAAGTAGTGTCATCACGATGATCGTATGATTTTATTTTGGGTAATTCGAGGGATTTCTTCTCTTTGTACATGTCACATTGAAGAACGATTTACGACCAATGTTGCGCATATGAATCAAAGTCTTAAAATCAAACAAATGATGAAAAAAAAATTGCGCACCGCAATAAATCAAAACACATTCGTTGCTATTTCGCTCGATTGGAGGTTTTTGTTTTTTTTTTCTCGCTCGCCTATAACCGAATCGTTAAGTGTTTGAACACCGAAAATTGTCTGTTGTGAGTAAATGTCATCATAAGCAAACAAGACATCCAGTTTGAATGTTCGTTCTCTCGCTCTGTAATCATAACCAAGTCAATTTGTTCTTTCATTCGTTGGCACGTGTGTGCCTGTGTTAAGTCGTTGTGCAAACGAACGTCAAAAATGTTTTTGCTTATACTGCGAATAGAAATGTGTGTATGTCTGTGCAAAATATATTACAGAATCAAGAAGTAACTGACAGTCTCGCTCTATCTCATACACTCAAACAAGTTAACACACACGGACACACAAGACATTCGGATAGAGTCATAGTTAACTACAACTACAGCCAATACATATCAATAAACATCACTGACGTACGAACAACGTGAATTGTTAGCGCGCAACAAGCACACACTACACATATAAAATGTATCTTTCGGTCAACGAAATTATTTTAGCGATGAAATCTGTACACTTTTATTTCGTTGAACATGAAAATATGCATGGTTTTCATAGGAAATTTTTATTTATCGATTTTTTTTATATTTATCAAACGACTAAAATTCACATTTTGGATGAAATTTCCTTTAAACTTGGGTTTGTTATGCGCGTCCGTTGCAACATACCGCAAAGAAAGTCCGTTGCCGTTAAAGATTTCATCCACATTTGTCTGTTGAACGCACTCAATACGTTACGAGTCCATCGTTTTGTTTTTAGTTTACGGTGAACATTCAAATTGTGAGCTTTGTATTGCAATGCGCGCTGTTTAAACCGTTCGTATCATTTCTAATTCAGTTCGTTGTGTAATTATTTTGCTTTTCTTATACATAAATTTGTCGTTTTTTTTTCTTACATTTCGATTCAATTTGAAAATTTGCAAACAATCTAGCGGAATATAAAATGAAAAATTGTTTTATGGCTGTTGGTCGTTCTCGATTATAATTTATTGATTAGAAAAATCTATCTATTTGAAAGAAGAAAATGACAATTCTGCTAGATCGTTTTCAAATAAAAGAGTTTTGTTATCGTTCGTGCTTCGAAAAAAAGAACATTCATATGTGTTATTGATGAAATTGTGTGCGTTTCTTTTTTGTTGTTGATTCTTTTCATTTGAATCGTAAAGGAATCAATCAACAATAATAACAAACGAAAAATGAAGAAAAAAAATTGAAAAATCAAAGATGAAAAAGTGCAAAGTCGAAAGAAATGTGGCGCACACGTCATGACATGTTGTGATTGTATAATAATTAAAATGCAAATTAAGGAAGAAAAAACCGCCAACAGAGAAATTAGATAAATATATATATCGCGAGAGCGCTAGAGCGCTGAAACATTTTTTTTTTAATCATGTGAAGGCAGTCTATTGTGCCAATTAAAATAATTTGAATGTTATATTTGTAAGATGTTTTGTTGCCCTTTCAATAGTCTGCAATTAAAAATATGTAAAAGCAGTGACATTGGAGGACACTGAGTGGATATTTTGAGCAGTGTCGTCGCCGTCGTCGTTGTCTCATCAAATGGGAGCAGAAAGAAAAATAACGAATCGCAAATTCTTTGAAATCAACAAAATGATTCTTTCTTCATTTGTGTGAATGTAATAAGTTATCGCTATGGTGATACCGGTCGTTGTTTTGCTCTTATTTACTTTCGTCTCTCTCCTCAATCAAGTCAATCTTGGAAATTTTCCGCCAAAACAAGCGCATTTAATTTTAATGAATTTTATTATGACGATTTTTGAGATGACTCATTGAAACGATGTGAGAAAGAAAAAATAACTATGATAAGTCTGTTGCTATTTATCAAAATATGAATTGATCCATTAAATTATCAGACGTGGTGGGTTTTTCGATGGAAATTGTGTTGGACTTCAATATTTTTAGAAGATTTTAAAGAAAAACATAACGAATTAAATGCATTCTGAATGAGTGTGTAGATGCTTCAATCTGCTTGTGGAATATCAAATCGATGAATACCAAAAAAAAAAAAAACAATTGGCTACAATGAAATTGCCATACATGTGAATGATCCGTTTCGATGATTGCAAATATTATATGTGTACGTGTTTGTGTATTTTTTTTCGAATTTGATTTACGAATAAACTAATGTGCGAATTTGAATGTGTGGCTCATGTACGTTGTTGGCATCGGAATCATATACACACACTTAAAACCAAATTGATCCAAATCGGTTAATTTGTCTCACATCACATCGATGTCAACAACGGTTTAGTGCAGAAAAAAAAGCAGAATTCGCGCCAGTACTGTTTGTTTTAAAGGTCATATTCATGAAATTGAATAAAATTTGAATTGTATTCTGAACAGTAATCACACACGATTTTCATGGAGAAAAAACAAAATCACGGTAAAGAGAATACCGTCAAAATGATTTCTCGGTATATCAATGATGATCGCTGTGTTCACAAGCACCGATTGTTTTTGATGCTGTTTTTCGGCGTGGTTTTTTTTTCGTATTTATTCTGAATCGCGGAACTGACAGGCCATTTACTTCTAAAACCGCAACACGAACAAAAACAGCAAAAAATCCATTTCAATAAGTAAGAAAAAAAGAGAGTGGTAATAACATGAAATGAACGGCAAAACGTCTCACCATGTATATATTGCTTCTTTTCGACTTCGGTTTGGTTAAATGGGTTTAATCTCTTTAGTAATTCACTACCGATTTGCAAATGAATTTTTATAATAATGCCACATTTATTTATAGTGCATGAAATGACGCTAAGATTCATGACGAAAACGGTAAAACGTTAAAGAGTGAATGAGCGAGCAGGAATGAAAAAGAGCGAATAATTTTTCGTTAAACTGACTCGGCCGTTTTGTGTAAATGCGCGTTCCATTAATTTTCAATGCTCTTGAAACGCAAACGGGCGGGCGGTTGGTTGGATGGTTGATTGTGTGTATGTTCGCTTGTGTGCGCGCTTACGTCGATTTAACATGAAAATAAAAACGACAAAAGAGCCACAAATAATACGAAAAAAAGAAACATAGTCACAGCAACAAAGAACCGTAGTGTAACCAATGGCGCACTTGTAATTTTCGCCAATTTTTTCTTTCTTGAATGAAATGATTTTGTCCGAAATTACCAATCGAATGTGAATTTCGTTGAATTTCATTAAAATTAACGCTTTGCACACAAATCGATGTTTGGCGAAATGTTAATAAACAAAAAATTTTATATTTAAAATGAAAGAACGAAATGAAATAAGTGTGAGAGAAAATTCAGAGAAGATCTGGCGCATGCAGCACTTGCGATTTGCCAAAAATAAAATTGCTCTCTTATGACATCACAGAAAACGGTAGAAATAGCCAGAAACTGAAGGAAAAACCAAGACACAGAGAAGACGACACATTAAAAAAGAACACAAACGTTGCCGTTGTCGTCGCTCGTAACTTTTTTGGCACTAGAGGCTTTCTCTATTCTCAGTTTCATGGTTATTTCTTCATTACCACCATTTATTATTTGCATTATCGTGTCCAATGTAAATCGATTTGTTTTGGGCCATGTTTATTGTTCGTTTCATGTTTTCTCTCTCTATCTCTCTATCCCATTTTTTATATGAAAAAAGAAGTAAATAAAAACATGGTCGATATTTTGAATATGTCGAAACTTCTGGTGACTTCTTTTTTGACCGTTAAACAAAAGAAAAAATAATGGCCACCTCACGACATGCGTCTGGTGTTGTTTTTGCTAAAAACAAGTTTCCCTTTTTTTTTCACTTAAACACGTCAATTTACAAATTGTTATGTGTTCATTTTCTGTAACCATTTTTGTGCTTGCACATGCACCACTTGCAATGGAAATGAAGAAGGGAAACAAAAATTTACCATTAAAAAACGTATGCGTTAAGCGAAACAGGCGATTGTAATTGTTAACGACAAACGCACACGCCGAGCCTCAATTTCTGGACCAGATGATTCGAGAAAAAAAGGAAAGAAAATTAAGACAGAGTAACGATTACGACGCAGCCTGTCGTTAATAAATCAATTTAACATTTGCATAAATTTGTGTTTTTTAGCGTTAAATATAGACTCTTAAAATCATAAAAGTGACACAATGAATATAGGAAGCATCTAAATCGTTAAACAAACATAGTAACATAAAAGAAGAAATGAAATTTCTAAACTTTCGTTCACCCACTTGTGCAAAACACTTGTCCTCTTTCACTCAATAAATTTAAAATCGTTGTTGAGCGCACAAAGTCATCGGTGTATTCTCGAACTGTGATGATGTTTGTGTGTTCTGTCATGTCAATAATTTTTAGTGTATATATCGTTTTTAATTTCACTAGTTTTGATGGTGACAAATACGATCACAAATTATTATGTTTGCTTGAAAAGAGAAAAAAAAGCAATAAAGCCATAAAAAGTCAGACAACGAATGGGCCGAGATGAACGAACGAACACACTTTTTCGAAAAAGTGTAAGTTGAACATGCTGTAACGGACAAAAATGACCGAATGCGAAATAAAACGAAACAAAAATATGAGCAAATAAAAAACCAAAATATATAGAACTATTAATCTAAGCCATTCACACTGTGTGTGTTGCAGAGACTATGTGTGTGTTGTTTAAAAATAGATGCGTTGGCCAATTAATTTTTTTTTTCTTTACCGCAAAACCATTTAACTGACGAACACAACTAGATAAAGATAGAGATAGAGAGAGATGAAACTGATGGCAAACTAAGCAAATGATTCAACAAAAACGCACTCAAACACACAGATTTCGTGAAGAAATAAAGAAATAGCAATAAAAAAAACAACAACAAAACACAATACAACAAATCCAAGACGTATTTATGCAAGCGAAGAGATCGTTTACAGTTATAACCGAATCGGGAGGCAACTGATCTGCCATCGATTAAGACACCAAATACGAAAAAAATGGAGATAGAATCTTAAATTGTTCCAAATATTTGGTTTACAATGTGTGCAAATCGAATGTGGAGACAAACAGACGAAACGAAGAGAGAGCGAATAAAAAACTGTAAACACGCGAAACAAAAAACAAACAAACAGTCGAGTAACCTAAAGAGTAGAATAACAAAGAAATTTCTGTCGTTTTTGATTGAAAAGAATAACGAAAATTGAAACAAACATATGATCGTTTCAAATGAGTCAAACATTTTGGCCAAGCCATAAAATGACAAATCAACCACTCAAAGCAAACGCCCAAAATGAAAGTCGAATGTAATGACAAATTAAAAAAAAAAAGTAGAAAGAAATACAGTTTGTAACTGTTTGCGAGAATGAAAAGAGAACGATTTCGAATCAAACAATATCGAAAATTTAATGATGTTGTTCCCCAATCGAATAAAAAAAAACTCGATTTGAATGATAATAATGTTGTGGTTCTTGTACGTATTAAATCTTGCTTGGAGTACATATCTATTTTTCTCTCTCAATACTCAATCTATAAAAAAAAATTCCAAACGATCTTCAATAAAATACCGAACAAAACTTGAGTGCGATCAAAAATGGAGAAATGTAAAACAAATTTTAACATATTTGTAATGAATTTTAACGATTCCGTATGAATCTCCATGAAGAACACTTGATTGAGAATTTATTTTCTTTAATTGCTCAAAAATCCAATAAAAAAACCTATCCATGAATGAAATAACAACATCAGAGCAAGAGGAAAAAACATACAAATGTTGTCGATGATTATGCAGCTGCGTTTATTCCGATATAACCGGAAGCTGCACGAGACTGGTTTGTTCGATCGATTTTGGCGGTGCTCCTTTTGTCCCAGTTGTGTGTACCTCTACAACATCAATATCAATT